GGCAGGATGATGCCACATTCCCAAGAGCAGGGCATGTCCTGCTGTGGCCAGGACAGTCTGGTCCTTAGCGAGCTGTGGCTGTCGCTGTGCCCAGCCTGGCTCCACATGCTCACCTTGCTTTGCTTATCAAAGCTGATAATGTTTTCTTGTGTCAACTACAAGAAAGGTGTGTCTGGTTCAACAGAACTTTGCTTTCATAAGCATTGCCTCAGTGATGTTTGTGCAACCACACTGGAACATGATTTTATCTTGTCACTTGTAATTACCACTAATAATTTGCATAATGGCCATTAGGCATCACTTATTAAACACTCCTTTGATGTGATACTGAGCCGGCTCCAGGCTCCCTACTCCCATCTTTCAAATGCAGACCACGACTTTTTCCTGGCTAGTGACTCATTGGTTTATACCACCATGTTAACCAAATCCTGTAAGGCAACTGAAATAATTACCACAGTGGGTTTGGTAACAGCACAGGCTTAAATACACCTCGGAGACCGAGAGAATGACTCTGCTTCAGCTTCTTTCTTGCTGAGTGTTCACATCTGCAGTGTCTGGGTATTTGCAGTGCTGAAGGAGAAGTTCAGCAGGACATGGAGGTGGGCACAACTGGGTTTCTTCCTGCTGAAGTTCAGTCTCCCCCTGATGAAGGAGAACTTGAGTTGATGAAGAGTGTTAGATCCTCCCAGGACCTGCCAGGTGCTGACAGTGCAGTCAGGCCTCCAGCATCTCTTGGTGGCACTGCAGGTTATCACAGCAGAGGAGAGTCCTGGAGATTTCTTAGGACAGATAAGAATAGTGATGGGTGATGAAACTGCAACAGTTCCACTCTGCACAGAGAGCTGGCAGAGCATGACAGGAGGGAAACCAAGGCTTCAGCCTGTGGTGTCTGCTGCAGAGACACAGGATCAGGTCACAGCCTGACAACCTGGAGTGTTCAGGTGCTTCCTGCACTCAGGCACCGTCCAGTGGTTCAACAGAGCCAGGCAGGCAAAGGTGGAGGGCAACCAGAACTCCCCAAGCTGTATTCTTTTATCTTTATATCATACTTGTACTAAAGTCTCTTAATTTCAATACACTTTCAATATGTGGCTCATACTGGCAGTTTAGATTGTATTTTTCAGTGTACTGAGCAGAGAAATCTGTTGGGTTACAGCAGCAGTTTGCTCATCTAATTCTTTACAAGTGTTACACAAGCCAACAAACAAAAATCTAAACCCCACAAATAGTTACTGTGGGTGTTAGACTGTACCTATCTGCATACTGTATAAAGCAGACTTTTGTAGAGAAATTACAGTTTATGTATCACACTAGAATATGGCCTGCTTTTCCAAACACACCATGCCTGTAATCAGAAATAATTTCCTGTGCTGTGCAGTTTGGAACTCATGGCTGATTTCCAGCACTGGTAATTTACAAAACTAGTTGTTTTCTTCCCATTTCTTCACTGATCCCTTAAACCTCTGGTGTGTTAACTCCTCAGGGATTTTTCCTGATGGTGGTGTAATTCCCATGTTCCTGCTCTCTTACAACACAGACACATCTGCTGGAGCTGTCACAGTGCATTTCACTGCCTGCTTACCAGCCCGAGTGCTGATGTCACCCCTGCCTCTCTCAGGGGCACCCACCCATGTTCCTCATATTCTTGGGTTCCTCTCTCCATCCTGTACCTTCAGCTCAAGTCTCTCTTTCTTGGAGATACTCGTTTGTTCTTGCTTTACAAGATTTGCGTGTTACAAGAGGACAGAACACGCTCCTACGAGCCGCACAACCCGTGAGCTCATGTGAAGTTCAGGTCCCTGGTCATTCCTGTTCTGTTGTTCCATGCACTGTGTCCTCCCCATTTCATTCATCTTCCCTTCCCTGTCTCTTCCTGTGCTGTCTCCACAGCAGTCACCATTTCCCATCGCTGTCCAGGTTATAAACACTGGGCAGGGAATACAGAATTGTATTTCTGCACAGATGCAGTGCAGTAACCTCAGAGGTGCCGTGTCAGCACCGAGGTGGATTAAATCACCCCAAAATGCACAGTGTAATTAGTGCTGCAGGAATGGGAGATGCAGAACTGAGCAGGGAAAGTAACACAGCTTGTCCAGGAGCTCATTAGAGCGATTACTCCACAGGGCTAACAAGTGTCCTGGACAGAGCCCAAGAAGAGGCCATTCCAGAACCATCTGAGCTGTTTCTTTCTTTAGAAACAGGCACTAATTCACACTCATCATGTCCCCCAAAGCCTTACTGTTAGAAGCCTTCATGTCAGGCCTCTGTCTAAGGTCAGTCATCAACCCCCATCCCACATTTCATGAGAGAAAGGCTGCCAGAGCCCCACAACAAGGAACAAGGGGTGTGCCACCACTCCCAGCCCATCCAAGCCATCGCTTGGACGCTGCTGCCAGCAAGGAGGGACAGGCTGAATCCTGAGCCTTGGCTTGCACACACAGCAAAATGCAGTTGTGTTCCTAAATGCATTTGTCATTCCTTTCTCTGCGCTAATAAAACACCAGCAGCTGTTTTTTCTGTCTGTTTATTGTGTCTCACTTTTAAAAAAATTCTCTCCCACATATTAATTTGTCTCACCCTTTTATCTTCCCACGTGTTACCAGCTGGTTCTTCCTGTTTGCCTTTTTTACAAATCCATTTAGAGGTTTTTTATTTAGTGTTTTCTCTGGGAATTGTTTTCCTCCACTAGAAGGGTGTGGAGAGTCCAGCAGAGCCTGGCTTTTAAAATTCCTCCTTTGGTATTATTTGAAAAAACTTGCTGTTCTTGCTTTTATGCTCTTAGTGTGCATCTTTAATAACTCAAAGATGTTGTGTATTGTATTATATTATATTATATTATGTGATATTATGTGATATTCTATTAGCATATGCCTGCTTTAGTGAAGACTCCCTGTCTTACTGAGTTCCCTCTCGGCAGCAGACTGTCAGTCAGACAGCCCTGAGCCTCCCTCCCTGCCCTCTGCCCAGCCGCCCCGGGCGTTCCTTTCCTCACCACCTTCTGCTTCATGTCTTGCCTCATGCTTCCTCCTCTGATAGCAAATATCCCTTTTCACAACATCAGCTGGTCCTTCTCCTCCACCCTCCATCCCCATCCTCAGCCTCTGAGTTCAGCTGGGGCACTGCTGGCAACATCTCTTGTTTTCCTTTTTCCCTGTAGTGATTCCTGTGTGGATGGAGACTGAAGGTAGACTCATAATATATTTTTTTAATACTTGTATATTGATTTACTTGTAGAAATTATTTCTCAGGTTCAAGGCTGTGTCAGCAGGAGAAAAGTTTTATTGGAGACAAGCCTTGGTTGCTGTTAGAGAACGGCCAAAACCCAGGGGAGCCTGAGTGAGGGGCAGTGCTGGGATCAGAGTGGGGTGGCCAGGAGGTGACGTCCTGCAGAGTCCCTCTGACTGCTGCTGGAGCACAACTGAGAACTCCCAGGTTATTTTTGCCTTGTTTTTCCAAAAGACTTTCTTCAGAGAGCTCCTCAGGGGATGTGCAGTGGGGCTGGTGGGGACTCTCTGGTTTGCAGTGACCTGAAGGAGAGTAGGAAGAATAATCATTTCAGGGGAGTCTGCATCCTGTGCCTTTCTCTTACACCCCTTCGCTTTTGTACTGACCTTCCTCTTTCCCTTGTCTCCCCAGCTTTGCTAAACTGTATCATTGTTGAAAGACTTGTGACTGATTCCCCTGCCAGTTCCTCATTCCCATGTTGTGCTGAAAATCTTGTTTAAACACACATTTATTGCTGGGCACCCCTCAGTGTCAAACATAATTTCTGTGCAGAGGTTTATAAATAAATATCTCATAGTTACATCCCTTATCTCTGCTTCCCACCACAGCCCAGTTAATCCCAGTGCCCTACCACCAACAGTCACAGCTGTGATCCTGACTCCAGCCCAGCCTCTCTCCAGGGAAAAACCCCTCCAGCCTCTCTTCACCACCCAGAAAAGCCTGGAGACCTCTTATCCTCCTGTTCCACAGGTACCCGGCACTGAAGAAGCATTTCATGGTCCCACCTCCCTGCAGACCCCCTCACCTGGCAGAGCCTGGCCCTGGGGCTCAGGGCAGGCAGGGCTGGCACAGGCTGCCTTTCAGCCCCGCGCTCCTCCCAGCTGATGTGGCACCAACTCCTCTTCCCGCTGACCCTCTGTGGAAAAAACCAGCTCTGGACACCCAGGCACCCGGCATTGCCACCCTGGAGATCTCCCCCTGCCCTTCTCAGCTTCATCTCTTCAGACTCAGCCGCCATTCCCCCTCCCAGCCCCGAGGGTCAGCTGCAGCCACCATCCATCTCCATCCCGCCTGTCTTCTGGCAGACCATGGTTTTCCATCTGGCACTCAGAATTACCCTGAGCAAGCACTAACGGTGCCACTTCAGCCCTTGCAATAGGCATTTTGGAACAAAAACTGACTTTTCATGTAAATAATTTAGTGCTGCAGAGTCCAGGGGAGCCCATGTCAGGGCACCACCATTCCAAAGCCTCCTCTTCCAACAAAACAAAAGGAGTAGGTGGGTGCTCAGGGCAGTTTTGTGTGTGCACAGCCATGTCTGGAATTAACAGCCTGGCTGTTTCAAAACCTCAGTCAATGGAAGGCAGGGCAGAGCCAAATGCTTTGCATACAAATTAAATTTTCCAAAACTTTAATTAAAATTGTTGTGTGAAACTGAAAATGTTTAGATAATTCATCATTTCAGTTAATTTAGCTGCTAGTCCCTAATTCTGTCTCACTCTGGCAAGCCAATAAAACTCAGTTACATGACTGTTTGCCCAGCTCCCGGTGAAGCTGCCCTTAAAGAGCTGCTGAACTGTTCCAGGAGTTGGGACAATTCTGGGGGTTCTCCCAGCCCATTCCCTGGCCCAAGAATGGTTTTTGATGCACTCCCTGGACATTTATCAGAGCCAAATCCTCAGATGCCTCATGGTTTTCTAATCGGCCCTGTCTGGTAACAGGTCAGCACTGGTTCCTCACCACAGTGTTGCTTTTCCTACCAGAATCACAAATTTTCATATCCCTGTAAGGCAAAGCACAGAGATTTTCAGGTGCCCAGCCCTGTTTGCATACATGATGTCATGTTGGCCACCCTCCAGCAGGCAGTGGTAGGTCTGGATCTCCTGCTCCAAGCGACACTTGACATCCAGGAGGGTCTTGTATTCCTGGTTCTGGCACTCCATTTCCGCTCGGATCTCGGCCAGCCGCTGCTCCACGCAGGAGATCTGGTTCTGCAGCTCAGCCAGGTATTTGTTGTAGCGACATTCGGTCTCCGCCAAAGAGGATTCCAGGTTTTCTTTCTGAGAATAGAACAAACACACAGGTAGCTGGGTCTGACACGGGTACAACCCTGCTTGTGAGAGCTGGAGCTGTGAATCCTTGTGGCATCACCTACCATAGTGAGCTGGGCTTGTACATTGATTTCCAGGGCCTGCAGCTGCCGTCTCAGCTCAGTGACCTGTTTGTTGCTTGACTCGATCTCCTGGCTGCTTGTGACAACCTCCAGATTCACCTCCTCCACCTGCAAGGTCAGAAAAGAACAGCCCTTTCCTCACCTCCCCAGTGCATCTCGTGGTGTCCAGGACCTCCCCACACCCTGCAGTGCCCTGAGCATGTCCAAGGCTGACACTGTTTATTCCATTCTGACCCTGTGGCACTGTGTGGTGGCCCCTCTGCCGCACATGGAGCACAGAAATTGGGCAGTACAGATAGATCTGAGTACATCTGTGACACACTTGCTGTTATTGGGACACTTCCTAATCCCTCTTTTTTCGCTTTCCCCCTGGGGGCAGGGCTGGGTGCAGCTCTTCGGGGACGTGGTACCTTGCAGGCGTACCACTGCTCTGTCTCTTTGCGGTTGCGCTCCATCAGCGTCTCGTACTGACACCGCAGATCCTCCAGGATCTTCCTCAGGTCTGGGCCAGGGCAGGCATTGACCTCCACACTCACATCCCCAGTTGCCTGTTTCCTCAGACAGCTCATTTCCTGCAGGAAATATGTGACTGTGTCAGTAACATCCATCCACCCTTGGGGGGACTCTCCTTCTGCTTAATTCCCTGAGAGAGCTGACCTCCTCGTGGTTGGTCTTTAGGCAGCACATCTCCTCTGTCAGAGCCTCACACTGCAGCTGCAGGTCGGTCTTGCAGCTGGCCAGCTGGTCCAGGACAGGACGGAGGTTGCAAATATCAGCGTCCACGTTCTGCCGGAGCCCACACTCGGTCTCATACCTTAAACCACAGGCAGCAAATGAAGGTCAGCACATCAGCAAAGCAGGGCAAGGCCTTCAGTGAGGTTGGGGGGAAAAAAAATTAGAATGAAGTTCTTTTGCTCCAGACATGAGCATTGCCAGTGGTGTCAGAGATCTGTTTTACTACGCAGTGTGACAGGCAGAGGGTTTGGATCTCCCCATCACCACCCTTCACCTGCCCTTCCACGGGCCAGCAGGGGACTGTACTCACTTCACTCTGAAGTCATCAGCAGTCATCCTGTTGTTATCAATGTTCAGAAGGATTTTGTTAGTCTCCATGGCTGCACACAGGATCTGGAAAAGGAATCGTAAGAAGAATATGTGGGCTTGCAGCTTCCTCTGCCTCCAGAAGACCCTGGAGGAAACACCTGGAGAATTTTATAATTATTCCATATTTTGGGGTTATTAATCAGTTATATGGCATCACAGCAGGGAAACCCATGTGCCAGATGGTGGACACAGCCTTGCTGAAGCATCAGTGCTCAGTAAATGCAGAATCCCCCTCCCACAGACCATCATTTCATATAAACCATTGCTTCAGCTGCCCCTCCAGAGCCAGAGCTCTGTGCACATGTGAAAGCAAAGCCCAAAGAAATATTAGGATTTTCTTGACCAGCAAGGATTTACCTGGTTCTGAAGGTCTTCTATTTCCTTGTGGTAGCAGCTGTAGTCCCGTGGCTCGCAGCTGGGCCCTACCTTGGCGTACCACTCCCTGATCTTGCACTCCAGGTCGGCATTGTCCCCCTCCAGGAGCCGCACCTTGTCCAGGTACGAGGCCAAGCGGTCGTTGAGGTTCTGCATCGTCGCCTTCTCGTTGTTAGCAAACAGGATCCCATCCCCGCAGCCAGCGCCAGCCCTGGGGAAGCCACCAGCACCTCGAGTGCAGATGCCTCCACCGCTGAATCCCAGGGCAGAACAAGCCCTCTGGGTGGCTCCGAAGCTCCCACCAGCCACGCTGCCGGCGCTCAGCTGCTTCCCGAGTAATCCCTCGCTTACGCTGCCACTGGAGAAGCTGCCAACCACAGCACCCAAGTCATAGGCAGCGTGTCTCCCCGAGGAGGCAGAGGAGACCCTCCTGCCGGTGCCAGCCGCATTGCTGCCTGTGCTGCCCCTGCCCTGGGCGCAGGTGGTGACGACCTGCCTGACAGCACAGCTCATGGTGTGGGTGCGGAGCCAACAGAGCCCAAGGCGAGCGCTCAGGTCGCTGCAGGATCCAACTGTGAGCCCTCTGTCCCCTGGTCCTCTATTTATACCAGTCCCTGTGGATCGTGCCACTGGAGAAGGGCTGTTTATTCTTCCTCCTTGTGACCTGGCTAGGAGGTGTTTTCTTTTTTTTCAGCCGGAAATAATTCCCCAAAGGCGTTTGTCTCCAGAAATCCCACAACAGAAAGATGCTTTGGTTAACAGAAGCGTGTTTCAAAACTACATCAAAAATGTTACTTCCTGAATCATCAGGTCTGACTTGTGATGACAACTCAACAACAGTGACACAAAAACCCGACGATACCCAAGAGTGCCCGGGGAATGAAACACCACAGCAATTATCCATCCCTGGCGTGGGCGAGTCTACCCGGAAAGTGAAAGCTGTGGGAAAGGCGCCCTATCTGATGGAGCCTGTTCGGCCCTTTTGTGACCAGAAGCGAGGGTGTCCCCTCACTCACCTGGCTCTGTCGCTGGAACCAGAGCCAGGAGACCACCCTGGGCCGTGCAGTGAGGCTCTGTTCCATTCCACATGGCCACCAGTGGAGTGAGCCCCTGGTCTGGGTCTTTAGACCTCAAATGCTCTAGGAGAGCACAGAGGAATATTGCTCTGGAATGTACCAGGGCTGGTTTATCCCTTCTCTTTATTCTACATCCATCAAAACATCCCCTTGTGCAGGTCTCAGTTGTTTTGCTGCCTTCAAGGCTAGACAAAATAGTCAAATATTTATCCAAAATATGAAAGGGTATTTCCTGGATGCCAAACATGCAGTTCACTGACTATTCACTGCCACACAGGATGTTTAATAAGATTTCTTAAACAGTAAAGTGGAGAATTTCAGGAGATGCTTGACGTTGCAGAAGTCTGATCCAGTTCCATGCAAACAGCGCCATGAAAACTCTCCAATACAATCTAGGTGTTAAATTTAGAAAGGACAATAGAAAAGATCTTTTAAAAAGTTTATGAAGCTAATTTTTTAGTTCTGGAATGCTGAATTGAGGAAGAAGGGAAATAATTAAAACGTTTTGTCATCTGAATCTTTCATTTTATTAATAACATTAATATAGCAATGCTAATATTGGCTGGCTCTCACCCACGTGTGGTTCAGCTTTGGGTTTGGCATCCAGGTCACTTGGACACGTGGCATAAAGAATGTGTCAGGTGCAGCCTGGCTCATAAATATTGCTTCTGCCATTTGGGCAAGTTCATTAAGCTCAATTTTATCTTGGCACTGCAAATCCAGCACTCCTGAAGTGCGGGGTGGTTCTGTGAGTGCCCATCCTTCGTTAGAGCCATCATCAGGAAGCGATGCCAGGGTGCTCTGGTGCCCTGGTGGTGGCCAGACCCTGCCTGGAGCCAAGATCAGAGTCAGTCTGGAGCCCACGTGCAGCCTGGTCACAACTGGGGTTTTTTTCTACCAAAAAATTATAAAATTACTGCTGAGCAAACATTAAATTTTATTTAATCAATATTTATATGATAAATGGTCCTTCATTTTTCAAGGCTGGATTGGATGGGGCTTGGAGCAACCTGGTCTAGTGGCAGGTGTCCCTGCCCATGGCAGGGGGGTAGAATGAGATGGTTTTTAAGGTCCCTCCCAACACAAACCATCCCATGGCTGTGTGATTTTTTTCAATGAGGAAAACATCCACAATGAGTGGAGGGTTTTTTTTCAATTACTGCAAACTAAGCAGAGATGTCCATGTTTCTTTCTTTCTTACTTATTTTCTTACTTCAGACCTTACCAAAGGTGATTAGAATTTCTACAGCTTTTGTAAAGGAGAACAATCATTTCAGTCATTATTTTCCTGGAATTGTGTGTTCTTCATGGCAGCTTTTTCCTTTCCAAAATCAAAAATATTTTTTAAAACCAGCTTTTGCTTTCACATGAGAACAAACCTCAAGCCCTGCCAAGCAGTCACAGCCCTCATTTTATTAAAGAGATTTTCACTTTGTGATGAGGAGGTCTGCTAATGATGGGATCTCATTGCCTAATGGAAGGCTCTTTCCAGAATTAGCTTTGATTGACTTCCTGGCTGGAGTCTACAGACGGAAATTTGCTCCCCACGTCCTCGCAGGCAGCCAGGGGCGATGCTCTGAGGAGCTGTCCTTGGCTGACTTGGGAGCCCCTCGCGGGCAACGCTGCACCCCAAGGGAGGAAGAGCAGCAGAGGAATGACGGCGCACGAGGATCTCCCGTGGGCATTTCAGGAACAGCAGCGCAGGTCTGACCAGGAAAAATTACTACTTTAAGTAACAAATGAGCAGAAGAGCCTCCCCCAGGCAAAGGCGTTGCTCCCACGTAATGAGCTTTGTAAATATAGAAAGGAAGAGATTATATTTCAGGTTTCCGTCAGCATCCTGGGCTGTGTGACGAAGAGTGGGGTGGTGGCAGAGGATGGAGGTGCTGGAGTTATTCCCAAGACTTCTGTACAGCAGAATTATCAGACTCAACAGGGCAATGGAAATGAGAAAGACTGAATTTCCCTGGAAATCCTTTGGGAGTCTCAGGATACTTTTTAAGGCTAAAGACTGTTTCTTAGTCTAATGCAGGTGTTTAACGTGTCCCCAGGAAGGAGATCCAGCATTTCGTGTTATTACAAATACTCCCGGAATCACCAGCTGTTTTCACATCCAAGAGGACTTCCTTGGGGACCCAATGACTCAGACATGGCACCAAACCCTAAGTCACTGCTGGTGCCCAGGCACAGGAGGGCCAGGAAAGGAGCTGGAGACAGGCTCTGCCAGCCTGGCCAGGGAGAGGCTCATCAAGAGCCAGCCAGAGCTTTTCTCTTCTCACTGTCAGCTGAATTTCCATGTTACACCTATGGAAAATCCTGGTGTTCTCAATTTACAAAGTATTTACAAAGTATTTGCTTATCTGGCTGATGATGCACCTGTCATGCCACTTTGTGCCAGCCTGTTATTGGCTCTACTGATGCTGATCTCCATCTTGCTGCTGACACCAGGTGCTCCAGGGTCTGATCCCAGCTTTGCAAGTCACTCCAGGCAAATTGTTCAGCTCTTCCAGGTCTCAATTTCATGCTTTATAGGATGGACACAACAATAACAACTATCCTCCTCCTCGAGTGCATTGTAAAAACAACTGTCTGAGGAGCACATGGGGCTTTAGAGATTGGAAAGACAACACTTAATTCATTGTCAATGTTCTTGCTATTTTATATTATTCTTGACACAGGCACATCTCATAGATTTCTCCTTGTGTCTCCATCATGAAACACCTTTCAAGGACATTCATAGTTTCCATTTTTCATTTTGTTGTCCATAAAGTTTCACCATCATTCACTGAGGACTTGCCTCTGTAATTCCCAGCTGAATCCTAACAAGGCTTTTCTTCTTGTGCTTGCAGCAAATCTGAAAACAAACCACAAAACCAGTGTTTGTCCACCTCTTAGAGAGACAATTTGTCCATGTTTCACAGACACAAATGTGTGTAGCAAAGAGTAAATAACAAGCAATATATTACCTTACACTTCTGTGGTATTTTCCTTCTTCAGAGCACTGTAATGTCACACAGAGATCATTTGTGCTGAGCTTGGACTTTGCTCTTGCCTGTGATAACAGGGTTACACTGAGCTGCATGCAGAATTAAAGCCTTTTTCATTGATGCAAATATATGTTGATTAATATCCCCTGATAAAATCCTCCCAGGGGAACTGAATCCACTGATTACAAACCAGTTTCTTCCATCAGCTCTCCCGGCTGTTCTCCCACCTCTCCTCAGGATTTCATCTCTGGCTGTTCCTGCTGACAGATGTAAATATCTCAGAGATGACTGAGTGTTCTGCTGGATCAATCTCTCCCCTGTGCCCTTTTGGCTGCAGAAGGGGCCATGTCTCTCTGTGCTGCCAGCAGAGCCAATTACTCTTAAACTGACGTCTTCTTTTCACCTCCTACTTATATTTAATCAGTTATATTTGTGGTTTGCAGAAAGCTTTTCTCTGTTCATACACTTGGGGCATTCTGCAGATGGTTCAAGACTTAAAAAGCCATTTACAACTAAACATAACAACTCTCTTCTGATGACAAAAAGAAAAAAAAAAACAAAAAATGAAACAAAAAACAAACAAAACAAAACAAAAACCACCACAACCAAAAAAGCACATGAGCAGTTGGCTCAGGATTTCCAGCCTGCAGCTTTGCCCACTGCCATAGAGTCTGAGATAGTTTGAGACTCAGGTGCATTTTTCCTTGCTCTGGTTTTCATTTTTGAGAATAGCTCTGGTTTGCTTGGCCTGGAAGACTTTCTCCACGGAAGGTCTGTCATTCCAAAGGGAAAAGCACAATGCAGCCCATGAACTCTTTGCTCTGCTGTGTCTCATTTCCTGCCCTTTTCTGTAATTGCTGAACAATGATACAGAGTGATAATATCTCACACTCCCTTCTCATGGCGGGTTCCTCACATTTTTGATCTCCTTTCCTCTCCTTTGCCTGTTCTGTCATGCCCAGTGTGACCTCATGAGCTCTTTCCAAAGCTGCTGGGGCCAGGGAGCACCGTGGGGAGCGCTCAGTGGGATGAGGAACAGTAATGCCGTGGGGAGACTGAGGGGAATGAATGAACCACTGATCACCCAAAGGAGGAGCCTCTTGCCCATTGTTATTAGGGAAGCTGATTTAATGCAAACTCTTCCCTCTCCCTTTGGGCTGAGCCCCAGATTTGTATCCTTGAGGTGTGGGATGAACACAAGCCGATGCTCAGGGCTCCCAGCTACCGCGGACTAGAAAGCATGAGGCTGGCTCAAAGCGATTCCATCATGCATTTGGCTCTAACACAATTTCCTCTCCTCTCTGGCCCTCTCTTGGTTGCTTTCCAGCAGGCAAATGGGCACAGGCACAGCCAGAACCTGCTGCTGCCCAACCTCATCACTAATCCTGAGCTGCAGCTCAGCCTCAGGCGTCGTTTCTACCTGGCATGTTTCAGGAAGGGTTTTAGCAGTGATCTGCTACACACGACAGTGATAAAATTATTGCTACTCATCCCTGCACAGATTAAGCAATGGTTACTTTAGTTCCTCTTAAGTGCAGCCCTGGGGCAGCATGAATAGCCCTGTAAAAAGTTTTTGTGCCTGATAGTGTGATTTAAAGACAAAAGAGACAGCAGGCCTGTGAGGATGAGGTTTGCCAACCGAGCAGACACCAGGCTCACATCTCAGAGAGAACACCTGACAGCAGCAGTCTTGCTGAAGCCATCTAAGTTCAGCTGACAGGAGAAAGTGACTTTTTATGATCCCAAGAGTTAGAGAACTGAGCTTTATCTTGTTGGCTTTAATTATGAGTCGCGTGGCACATTGACCTCAAACCTCATCTTTCCATAATTGCCTTCATTTTGTATCCTTTACACAGTTTATGTCTTGGCTAGTCCCATGTATTTACAAGTATTGAGTTTATTAGAAAAAGCTGTCTCAAATTATGTTTGTCACAGGCAGAACCCCTATCCCTCCAGGTGGAACATGGCCCTCCATTCTCCTCCTCGCACTGACTTCTTGTGTTTCTCAGAACTTTCCCTGGCATGAACACAGAACCCAGAGGCTTTGAGGGATCGCATGACAGTGACAGACAAGTCTGCAGTTGCACAAGCAAGGAGAAAAAGCTTTATTAAGTGTGTCCAGAGACACCTGCACAAAATGAGGGCAACACAGAAGAGCAGGTGAGGGGACACAACCCGACCACACGTGGCCTCAGGCACTTCTTGGCTCAATTCCCTGCTCTCCTGAGCCAGGGGCTGTCCTAGCGAGTGGTGAGTGCGACCTGCTCCCGGGAGGAGACCACCTTCCCATCCTGCACCTCCTCAACGATCGTGCGCACCTGACGGGATGATGTCGTGACTGCAAAGGAAAGGAGGACAATTATTCATGGCTGGAAGGAGAGAAATTTTTTAAAACACTATCAGATATTGCACATTCTTCAAGAGCTGGTGAAAATTCCACAGGGAAGTAGAAAATGCTGCTTTAAACAAACCCTGCTTTGACTGGGAAGGGGAAAGAACCAGGCTGAGGAGAAAGGTGGGTTCTTACCATCTCTGCCAGAGTGTGAGGACATGGCGGAGGAGTACTGGGAGGAGATGCTACAAGAGAAGCACAAAACCAAACAGATGTTAGGGACAAATACTGATTATTGCTAATACACAGGCTCTGTGTTCTGGCAGAAGAAAAAAGGCTCATGGCAATAGAAGTGTTGTTCCACTTGGCCTCTCCTGAGGGATGGAGGGACCACAGCCCTTTCCAGCAAGGAAAGGGACCCAGGGCAGCATCCCACTCCAGCCAGGGACAGAGTTCTGGGCACCCACAGCTGGTGTGAACAGAGGAACCAGGCCTGAAAGCTAAGACTGGGCTGAGGCCTTAGGCATTTTGTGTCTATGACCCATCTCATCCCACCCTCCCT